AAAAAAAAAAAAAATGGCCAACGTACCGACTTTATTTTAAAATATACAGTGACTACTGGAGAAGGTATCTACAGTTACATGTTAACATTATAAAAACACTAAACGGTTTCTAAACAAACAGCGAACCGTTTGAACTCGCACGTGAAGCACGCTGCCAAGCGGAGCGTCTCTTACCCACTCTCCTTCACATCCAGGTGGTCGAACATCTGGATCAGGGAGACAGCGACTTCGTATATGTCCTTAGTAATCACCGGCTCCTCCAGGATGTGAGGAGAAAGCTAAACACAGGAAAAGAAAAAGCCGGAAGATCAGGATTACAAGGGGTTCTGGGTTCAGACAGGTGACTGTCTTTAGTGCGTCACTTTAACACCCCAATAAAAAGAGTACTGTCAGCAGCCAATACACGAACGCTTGCCGAGCGCCAGGCCCCAACGGACATGGTACGGCGAGTTCACCCCCTGTCCCTGTCACTGGGGCGCAGATGGGCTCAGAGTGCAGACACACAGAGGTGGGACGTCTGTCGGGAAACCTAGTCTGAAGACAGAGCGAGCAGCTCCAGATGCGTACAGAACCCAGCGCCGGCGCCCCTCCCGTCAGGCGCCCGTCTCAACAAGTCCTGAGACATCACCGCCACCACCGTCACGAGGACCGGGGAAGGCTAACACCCCGTTACATCTGCCAACTTACAGGAAGAATATACCGAAGTCACCTATGTGCCAGGGCGCGGGTCGCTAGACTACTTTTAATCGCATACTAAAACAAAACTAATGAGCCCAGCTCGTTTAAAACTGCCCTCCAGACACCTCCGCAGAATGCGGGAGGTCAACCGCAGCAGCCACCCCCCCGGTGAGGTTGGCATCACTGGTCTGAGCTGACAGCTTCATGGAACCAAGGCCACCACCGTGGAAGAGTCTCTCTAGAACATCCAGCACAACAGTTATGGCATAATTTCCGGAAAATCTCTTTCATAGCCATATCGGGGGTTTTTTTGCACCAAGAGTAAGAAAGCTTTTGTGGTGTATTTAATAACCTTACTTATCAAGTACTATGCTCAAAGCACTGCATTCAACTTTGTGAAAAACACATCAGAAGTCTACAAGTGATAAGTAGTTAGCCACAGATGCAAACTTTCCCCCCCGTTTTTAGAGTAAATTAAGTCAGCTGGTAAGAAACCATTTTTCATTATTAGTACGATCCTACTAATGTAAGAATAACAAACTGGCTTTTATTTCATCAATAACTGTGAAGGAGCATTCTATCTTTACCTGGAACGACTTTCTACTTTATCCAAACGATAACCGTAACAGAAACATACAAAACAGAAATAGAAAGAAAGCATAGTTTTCACAAACCCCGACAGCGGCATTCACACCCATCAGAACGGTTTTTCTACAAACCAGTAAGCCACGGAAAAGGTACGTCACCAATTCAGGAGTAACTTCACTGTGTTCTAGAATCCAAACCCAAAGACTATCATTTAAATACAATACAAGACACCAGATACAGCCCCGCTTTCTCCCAGCAGGCATCACACGGGTAACGATGGGAACGGTGAGGTGGGTCACGGGCCCGCTGATCCACGGCTGCCCTCGCCCCCACCACGTGTGAGAGTCAGGGGCAAACAACAGACGACAGACGAGGTCTCTGCTCCCCCAGACGGCACAGTGCTCTCAGAGCAAACGGGCCCACTCGCTCAGTCGATGCGCTCTGACAAAAGATAAAGCAGGGGAAGGGGCAGAAACGTGGAGGGAACGAATTCACGCAGGCAGAAACGGAGAGACTCACTCCTCCGCCGAGCTAACGACCGTGACGCCGTCAACAGAAGGAGGCTGAAGCTCGTGTTTCTGCCCCACGCGGAGAGGCTGGAGCCCTGCGCGTCTGCCGTCACCACGAGCCGGCCAGCTGGTCCCAGGAGGAGGGCGAGAGACGTGCCAGAACGGGCGCTGCAGACGGCAGGAAACGAACGATGCCGAGACGGCCAGGCACCATCGGGGAGCAGAACGGGGACCTCAACCTGTCTCACCGTCCCCGTGATCCCCTTGAAGTGAGTTACTGCCCAACTGTGAACAGGATTATAAAAGCCCTGTCCAGGGCGGGAAGGCGTGGGGAGTGGTGGGCGGGGCCACGCTCTCCTTCAGCTCTGCTTCCGGACTAAAGCTACACATCGTGGGCGCTCCCTCCTGTCTCATTTCTAAGGGGAGGGTGAAAACAAAAAAGTTGAAAGTAAGTAGTGAAAAGAACTCTTCAGAGGACGTTGAAAAGAACAGCCAGGGTTGGCAAAGAGAGACCACAAGGGCAACACTGGCCTCAAGGGAAGGGTGACTTTCAAGAAAACCAAACTGGCCGAAGGTGTCAAATATTACAGGGAGGTCATGGTAAGTTTAGGGCAGAGGACTCTCAACTTAAGGAAGTCGCTAGTGATCCTGACAAATGCCACCTCAGAACAGGGGCAGTGGGAGCCAGGCCACGGAGAGAAACACGGGACCTCGTGAGGGTGCTTTTTAAGATGAGAGAGACTCAGTTCTGCTGAAATGGGGACAGGTAAGGGGCAGTGGAGAAGGCACTAGGAAAGGTAACACGAGGAGGGTGTTGGGGCGCCGGGGGGGCTCAGTTGGTTGAGCAGCCAAGCTCAGCTCAGGTCACGATCTCGTGGTCTGTGGGTTCGAGCCCCACGTCAGACTCTGTGCTGACAGCTCGGAGCCTGGAGCCTGCTTCGGATTCTGGGCCTCCCTCTCTCTCTGCCCCTCCCCGACCCACGCTCTGTCCTTCTCTCTCTCTCAAAAGTAAACATTACAAAAGAAAAAAAAAAAAGCAAGGAGGGGGCAACAGTCAATCAGAAAAGGTCCCTAAGAAGGCAGAAAGGGAGAAAGGCTGGTGTCCGCAGAAGGAACGCGGCTTCTCCCCTGTAACATTAGATGGTGCGCCCAGGGAGTAGTAACAGTAACAAAACTGGAATTTTTAAAACTCCTCTGACTCCAATAACGATACAGCAGAATCTACACAAAATACCGCTTTTATAAGGCTTAATGTTAATATATTCATTCACCGAAATATTTCCTGAGTACCTATTAAGTACCAAGAACAGGATACTGGGTATGCAAATGCCAAAACCGGGTTCTCCCCAGCCTGGAGAACACGAGCCCCTGGCTGGAGAGGAGTCCAGGCTGCCCCGCCCGCACGGGAGCAGAGGGCAGGTGCCCAGGCCTGACCCAACTCCACAGCGCACCCGCGAGCAATCATCGACGTGATTCCAACACACAACGGCCAGCTGGAAAGACTTGTAAAACCATCGGTACTTTCACATTCCAAAATGGGCCAGAAAGTACAAAATTTTTAAATGTGACGAAGTGCCCTCTCCCCTCCACCTTGAATACGGGCTGCAATTAGTGACTTGTGTCCAAACAGCAAAGGACAGGCGTGTCTCTCTTATGCTGCTTATATCTCACTGGGGTGGGGGTGGGGGGGGGGGAAACAGGCAATGAGCAAAGAAAACAGGTAAACACATACAAATACACAAAAGAAAAAGGAAGGGACAGTAACACTGTAGGGCAGAAGTTTGGCTAAAACTTCCTTGGCCAGGAGGGGCGCCTGGGTGGCTCAGTCGGTCGAGCATCTGACTTTGGCTCAGGTTGTGATCTCACAGTTTGGTGGGTTCAAGCCCCGTGGGGGCTCTGTGCTGACAGCGTGGGGCCTGGAGCCTGCTTCAGATTCTGTGTTTCTCTCTCTCTGCCCCTCCCTTGCTCACACTGTCTCTCTTTCAAAAACAAATAAAAAAAATTTTTTTAAAACTTCCTTGGCCAACATCACCAGTGATAGGCCACGCTGGCGGTCCCCCCCGTGACAATACAGCACTTCACCCCAGTGGTCTGCCTCCCCAAGATCCCTAGCCCCAAGTCTACTCATGAGAAAAACATCAGAAAAATTCTCACAGTGGGGAATCCTACAAATACCTGACCAGTACTCCTACAAATCGTCAAGGTCATCAAAAATAAGAGACGTCTGAGAAACTGTCACAGCCCAGAGAAGCCTACAGAGACATGACGACTCAGAGCAATGTGGGACCCTGAGACAGAGAAAGGAAATTAGAGAAAAACCAGTAAAATCCAAACAAATACAACTTTAGTTCTAATAATATATCAGTTTCTTGGTTCTGACAATTTTTTTTATAAACGTGAACTTTAGAATCCAGGTGACAGAGAGGTGTTTACTATAAAATTCTTACAACTTTCCTGTTTTTTTGAAATATTGTCATCTACAAAGTTGGAAAAAAAGACGTGCCACATTTTAATGGCCATTGCTGGCCTCCCTCCACTGTAACAGATTTGACAAAATATGTCTTCTTACCTTAGGTGGAACCCAGTCGGCTGACTCACCATCGTCGAGGCTATAGTCTACTTCCACCTCACAAATGTTTGTGGTAAGAGTCCAACTCCTACACAGAGCAGTCTGGCACCGTCCATCAAAATCACAAGTGCACACACCCTCTGACCCGGCAATTCCACCAGCAGACGCTGTCTTCTACAAGGCATAACCTACACAGGGGTCTTCGATGGGGCAGCCGACCGCCCACGGACTGTCTGGAAACACTGTTGGTGGTCACAGTGGGGGCCCCACTTAGAGCTAGCGGATCAAGGCCAGAAACGCTGTTGAACATCCTACAGTGAGATGTTCCACATCTCACCACAAAGAACCGGCCCCAAATGTCAACAGTAACAAGGCAGAGAGAGCCCAGCCTCCGAACACACCGTCGGGAGCGCAGTCTCCTCCCGCAGCACTGCTTTCAACCAGAACAGACCAGGGGCACCCGGGGGGGATCAGCCGGTTTAGGCCTCCAACTCTTGGTTTCAGCTCAGGTCACACTCCAACGGTTCATGGGGTGGAGCCCCACGTTGGGCTCGGTGCCGACAGTGCAGGGCCCGTTTGGGATTCCCTCTCTGCCCCTCCCCCACTCAAAATACATAAAGAAACTTAAAAAAGAAGAAGGCCAGAAATACTGGAGATTAGTGAGATACGGACATGAGAGAACAGAATGTAGCTCTGAAAAGAGAATGAATAAGCTGTGAGTTGGGAAAGGACATGAAAAGCAGAACGAGAAGGCAAGGTGCACCGAGGGCACTGCTGTTTCTGTAAAGGGAGAAACCGCACATGTGTATCTGCTCATACAGACATTCAGAGTTACAGCACGATTCCTAAGAAATTAGTGACAGTGGTTTCCTCTCGTTGGCAGGGGAGCTGAGCAGAGGACAGGAGGGGGAAGGAGAGAGTTTATACCTGCTCATAAACCTCTTTTTGATTTTTGAATCCTGTAAATGTATTACCCACGTGAAAACAATGTCAAATCAACTGCAACTTTTCGTAAGGATGTATTATCCCGGTCCTTCACCGTCAGCACACTCCTCCTTCAATTGAGAGCACCACAATTTGTATTATAAGAAGCAGTTTAATCAAAGTAAAATTTGAAATAAAACTACCTCCCACTCTCAACTGAATCTACAATTTTATAGCTGACCAAAATCTGACATTTTACTTTTCACCAACAAAGTGTAAAACCAATCCAACAACTTTCACAGGAGCGTACAATGTGTTTCGATGCCCACAGTTCACAGCAACAGACTCGGGGCTCTCCCGACCCGTCCTTCTCCAGCCCCAGCCCGCACCATCTCCCAGCTTGGATTTCGTACGGTCTTACAATTGCAGCTGACCAGTGCGGGCTTACTCTGACACAAAGGCACATTCGCTATGAAAGAAACAATGCCTTCCAACATACCCTGCTGTGATGCATGTGCCCCAAATCATCAAGATAATACTCTTCGACTGAATGGGGCTTTCCTTCCACTTCAAAAACATACGCAGGGTTCATCTTGTTCTGGACAGGAACAGCAAAGTAATCTGCAAACTCTTTGCAACTGATGGTGGCCGACATGAGGATTATCTGCAGAAGAGAAACCATTAGAACAAACGAGCAACAACAACAACTAAATGTGATGTTGTTAAATTACCAAGCTTGTCTTCTGCTTTAGTAATTTTCAAAACTTCAGTATGATACATTGACTTATAATGGAGTACAAATTATTACAGTTGAACGAATGCTCAGAGACAACCAACTTTTACTACTTCTCCTAAATTATTTTATCAAGTGAGAGACTACAATAAAGTTAACCTATGACCACTTATCTAAAAGGAAACTTTGCATCAGAAAACAAAAGTAAAAACGAGCAAGTTACTAGATGAGGTGTTACAGAAACGCCAGGGAGCAGAACAGCAAAGAGGCAGATGCAGAGCCAGAAAACCCTGGCTCTGAGCCACGAATCTGGAGCAGTCGGTCCCAGGGCCACAGCAGAGAGAAACCAGCCTAGGCCGAAGCAGGACACAGAGGCTTGGGGACCCACCACAAGTGGTCAGTTGTGCCAGGAAGCAAATACGGGATGTCCTCCGTGGGAAACTCTGTGTGAAAGCCAGGAGCAGCACCCACAGCACCCCAGATGTGCAGCGGACAAGGCAGCGGTGCCACAAAGGACACGCACCATCCGCCAGTCTCTGAGACGCTCACCGGGGGTAAATCCAACTCTCGGCCGGCTGCCGACGACCCAATGCGTTACTGTGTAAACAAAATACGTGTATTTTCCCCTAAGATGTTAGATCCAAATGGTAGAAAGCATATTAACCAGAACTCATTTAAGATGAGTTGCTTCAGATTGGAAGGAAGCCTCTGAGAAGCCATGTGGCCCCCACGGGGCATACTCGGTCCCGGCAGATGCTCTCTAAACTGTCGTTCCGAGGGACAGTGAGGCTGATGGCGTGCGGGGCCTCTGTTCGGTTGAGGCGGCATGCGGACATGAGGCCAGACCGGACTGCTCAAGGCCATCGAGACTCCTCACTGCCACCAGCCTCTCCTCCAGACAGACAACTCGGCAGCCTGCTCAAGACACCAGCGTGGGACTGACCTGAGTGTGATCAGCCAACAGTGACAGCGGGGCCAGCAGGTGTGGGGACGGCCCAGAGCCAGGAACCTCTAAGGGTCTGTGCGGCAGAGGAAGGGGAGACCTTCAGGCCCATCTTCCCACGCTCCCGAATCTAAGTCTCTGACAGCAACTCTCTTTTTAAAAAGTACTAAAAAGAGAATTTTTGAGCATTTCAAAAAACTCAGTATAATGCCATCTATAACTTGATTTCTCATTTCTTGGCCCAGAAAATATTCTGCTTCATAGCTTTAACAAATGAAGAAAATACTGAAACCAACCAATGGTTTCCTACCATTTTTATAATGGGAACCAAATTCCTGCCCACCATTTTCAGCAATGTGGTAGACTTTTTTTAAGTAGGCTTCGCACCCAGCGCAGGGTCCAGTGTGGGGGCTTAAATTCACCATCAAAACCTGAGATCAAGACCTGAGCTGAGACTGAGTTGGATGCTTAACCGACTGATCCACCCAGGTGCCCCTAAAAACAAAGTCTTAAAAAAATAATTATTCCTAATGACTAAGTAATTTGCATGTTACAGAAATTTATGCTGATATGTTAGACTATGAAGTATCCAATTTTTCTTCAGTTTCCATCATTTCAATGGTATCATGTGACCTGAGTCAAAGTCAGACACTCAACCAACTGAGCCACCCAGGCGCCCCAAAATGAAGTCTTAAAATGACAACCAAAAGGTCCCAAATTGTTGAACAATCTTTAATGTCATCTTTAAGATTCCAAAAAAGGAACAGAACAGCCAAATTCCTGCATTTGTGCTACAATCGTGTCAAGCAGTGACACAATCACAATTTTCAGATTCCATCTGTCTGGCGCCCACCAGGTGAGCCTTCTGCGGCAGACGGGTCTCATCCTGGGAGCGGAGTCCCAAGAGATGCTTCCCTAAGCAGATGAACAGACGGAAGACTGGCAGACAACTGCTTTCCAACAGCAGCAAAGCCCGTCACAGCCCTTTCCACGAGGCCACACTCCAGCCGCGGCCACCCTTCGGAAGCTGCTCCCCACACACAGGGTGGCCTACATGGGGAACATGTAATTATCACAACCCTCCGCTAGTTCAGTCAAGTTCACGCCCTCCTCCTTTTAGTTCACGTGATGCAAACAGCGATCACCATCCCCACGGACTTTCAGTCAACTCAAAACCCAAGTCTTTAAAACAGCAGCGCACAGAACTGTCCTCAGGGCGCCTGGGTGGCTCAGTTAAGCGTCTGACTTTGGCTCAGGTCACGCTCTCATGGTCCGCGGGTTTGAGCTCCGCGCCAGGCTGGGCACTGACAGCCTGGAGCCTGCTTGGGATTCTCTCCCTCTCTCTCTATGCTCCTCCCTGACTCATGCTCTCTCTCTCCAAAATAAATATACTTTATAAAAAATTTTTAATTAAAAAAACCCTCAATTCCTCTTCTGGTGTCGTTTTTAGAACAAAGACTGCAGATGTAGTCACATACCTCCAAACTGTGGTAATTATTCAACCAAAAGCAGTGATCCAACACTCAGTATTTCATTAGAGTCAACAACCATCACATCACTTTCTGCCTGGAGAAAATTTCCGAATTTAATGCAACATAATAATCCAAAAAAAAAAAAAAGATTCCACACTCCCATCCTGAGGGAATGCCCTGGAGCCAGCTTCCTGGCCAGATGTGGAGGAGGACACACGACAACAAATGTCAAGAGTCACTGCTTTCGATGGTTTCTGAAAAAATGAAGAGACACAAATCCAAATCATAAACCTTAACCCTGAATATTCCTGTTACTCAGGAAATCAGATTTACCTTCACAAAACGCGAATTTGTTCTCAGAAGTTTGCGGACTACCAACAGCAGGAAATCCATTTCTTCGGTCCGTTCGTGTACCTGCAAAATAGAAAAGTGGGGCGCCCCACGTGGCAGCCAGCAACGCACATGACCACGGAAGCGGCTCTGACGGTCGCCGGGAGGCAGGGGGCAGGGCAGCTGGCTCTGCTAAACGCGCTTCCTCTGGGCGGACCGGACGGCTAAGAGGAAGCCGGGCCGCCTGGCCCACGAACGAGAGGGCACAGAAGAGGTCTCTTCCCCCTCGGTGCTTCTCTCTGGGGCCTTCTCTCTGGGGCATCTGGGCAGAGAACTTAGCATCTCTGGTCCCGCGCGTGCAATGCCAGTGGTGCCCCCCGGGGTCACGGAGTCCAGCGGAACCATCCCCACCCGTCCCCGGCACAGACAGCCACCGGACCCACCTCCTCTACTTTCCCCTGCCAACCACACGCTCCCCTCAGTCTCCAGCGGCACCCAGGCTGGCAAGTGAGCACAGGGCGGAGGCTGAGGCCAGCGTGCCCGCTCCGTGAGATGCAGAACCGTGGCGACCGAGGGTGGGCCGGGTTGGCTGTGGCACGGTCAGGTCAGCCACAAACGGGCAAGCAGATGGAGGCTAGGAGCCGAGGGCACCAGGGGGAACTGCGGGCGCTCGGGGTCACCCTGGGGAGCTGGCGTGGGAGCTGCAGCCCAGGGAAAGCAGCCC